AGAATACAAGTCATTCCCCAGTTGCTAAATGGTCAAAGGATATGAACAGGCAGTTGTCAGATGAAGAAATTAAGGCTATCTATAGTCATATGAATGCTCTAAATCACTAGTGATTAGAGAAATGTAAATCAGAACAACTCTGAGATACCACCTCATACCTATCAGATTGGCTAATATGACAAAAAGGAAAATAATAAATATTGGAGAAGATGTGGGAAATTTGGAACACTTCTGCATTGTTGGTAGAGTTGTGAGCTTATCCAACCATTCTGGAGAGTAATTTGGAACTATGCCCAAGGGGCTATAAAACTATAAATACCCTTTGATCTAGCAATATTACTGCTACTAGGTCTGTATCCCAATGAGATCATAAAAAAGGGAAAGAACCCGAATGTAAAAAAATATTTATAGCAGCTCTTTTTGTGGTGGCCAAGAACTGGAAATTGAGGGGATGCCCATTATTTGGGGAATGGCTGAACAAGTTGTGGTGTAGGAATAAAATGGATTACTATTGTGCCATAATAAATGATGAGCAGGCAGATTTCAGAAAAACCTGGAAAGACTTAGGTGAACTGATGCTGAATGAAGTGAGCAGAAATAGGAGAACATTGTACACAGTAATAGCAACACTGTTTGACGATCAACTGTGATAGACTTAGATCCTCTCAGCAACACAGGGATCCAAGACAATTCTTAAAGACTCATGATGGAAAATGCTATCCACATTCAGAGAAAGAATTATGGAGTCTGAATGCAGATGGAAGCATACTATTTTTATTTTTTTTGTGTCTTTTTGTTTCTCATGATTTTCCCTTTTTGTTCTGATTCTTCTTTCACAACATGACTAATGTGGAAATATGTTTAACATAATTGCACACATATAACCTATATCAGATTGCTTGCTGTCTTAAGGAGGGAGGGAGAAAAATTCAGAATTCAAACTCTTATAAAAAATAAATGTTGAAAATTATCTTTATATGTAATTGGAAAAAATAAAATACTATTAAGTAGAAATTTTTTTTTGATTTATTATGAATTAGATCAAAGGCTAGAGAGGGGATAGGAAACATCTGAGGATGTGAAGATACTGTTGACTCACCAAGTGACGGAGGGCAAGTTAACCTCACCTCCCTCTTTGACTTTATTCCCATAGGCACAAATGCCTTCTCACCTCACCACAAGCGTTTGAGCCTTAATTAGTGCTTTGAAAACTATAGGTGAAGATCAGAGTATTATTATGCAGCATTTATGAAGGGCTCTCTAGACTGTCCTTATTTAAAGGTCATGAAGTTCTCTGAGATGGTTCAGTTCCCAGTTTCTCACACAAATCCCAGTTTTTGAGGATAATAGGTCTCTGGGATTGGGGAACACCCTCTTGAAGACCAGACTCTTCTCATTGGGAGGGAGGAAGCATTGTCTCTCTTTCCTTCAACCCATCATCCACACTGCTGCCAGAACTATCTCCCTAAACCCTGGCTTTCACAAGATCAACCCCATCAGTTTCAAATTCCTCTTGTCTGGTTATCCAGACCCTCCACAATTGGGTTCCACCCTGTCTCTCCAACTTTAATGTCAGCAGAAGACACTATTGCTGCTCTCTAGGAACTTTTCAATTATTGGGAAGATGCCATATGTAAATAATTATAATAAAACAAATGCTATATGAATACTGTAGTCAATAAATGATGAAGGAAGGGGCAGCTGGGTGGCACAGTGGATGGAGCTCTGGGCCTGGAGTCAGAAGGACTTGAGTTCAAATATGGCCTCAGACACTTAACACTGACTAGCTGTGTGGCCCTGGGCAAGTCACTTAACCCCATTGCCTAGCCCCACCCTCCAAGAAAAAATAAGTGATGGAGAAACTAAGAGGAGAGAAATGTCATTTCTAGCCCAGCCAAAATACTTAAGCATTCTTCAAGGCTCAGGTCCTAGCTGAGTGAAGTCTTGTCTGAACAGTTCTAGTTCTTGCTGATTGCTATTTTTTGAATTTCAACAGGTCATTGTCTTGCTATGCACGAGTTAGTGAGGCATTGGACTTAAGAGTCTGAAACCTGTTTTTGGGTACTGTATTCAACCTTTACCAACTATAGGACAGTGGGGCAATTCTCTTAACAGCTCTGAACATTGCTTGACTCATTTATTAAATGCTCTACCTACTTCACAGGGTAAGTGTTGCAAGAAGAGTGCTTTGTAAGCCATAAAATACTATATAATGTGAGCTAGGGGAGTTATTATACTGAATTATATTCTTTAGTTGTCAATATCTCATCTCCCCAACTAGACTATAAGTTTTTTGTGGGTAGGAACCAGTATATTATGCTTCTCTAAACAGGATTGTTTAGCCCCTAACAAGGGCTGGGCATTTTATTTAGAGCCTTTTTTAGGAGGAGAGGTGCAGTGTGATTTCACTGGTATAGGGCAGAGGTGTAAAACACATAACTTACAACACAGTGAGGACAGCCAGAACCTGAACCAGATTAATATGTAATTGGGGAATATTCAACAAAACAAACAAATGAATGAATTAATAAACAAATATAAACTATATAAAAATATGAATTAAATATACAAATATTATTTTAAATTATTTTATTATTAGTTTTAATTTTATATATTTATAAATATATTTATTTACACACCTACATATTTATTTATTGTATATTTATAAATATATTATGTATTTAATTTTTAATATTTTATTATTTATATCTCAATATAAACTTTTCTAAGTTAACATGGAGCCCACAGGGATCCTTGTGTAGAGTTTAGTGACCCCTGGTTCTTTTTCAGCTTAATACCATTGGTATAAGGAATTCCTGGTGAGGAAATTTTCTCCATTGATACCTATTGTCAACTGGTCTGTAATTTATGGTTGCCCTGAGGTAGTGATTGATTAGATGGCTTGCCTTGGGTCACAACAAATATGTTCCAGAGGTAGATCTGAACCTAGGTCTTCCTCATGCCAAGACTGGTTTTCTGTCTACTACATCATGATGCTTTTTCAGTTAGATGCATAGAAGACTAGAATCAAAAAAATACCAGTACTGGAAGAAACCTTAACAAATCATCTAGGTCAACTCCATTTTAAAAATGGAACTGAGGCCTAGGGATATTACGTGACTTTCTGCAGTTGGTGTAGGGACTTACTGGCATAAGGAGTTTTTGTTTTCTCTGCACAAAGACCAAGAGATCAGTGAAGAGAGTTCCCAAAGTTGGGCTGAGGTTCTTCAGTAGCCCAGATCCTAAGTGTTAAGTACAAAATATTAGGTAAGTCCTATAATAATAATAATACTTTTTAAAAAAATCCTATCGTTTAGCAATTCAGACTTTCCAACATCAGTACAAATTCACAAGTCCGTGTTGTAATTGTGAAACTACTAAAATATTATGGAAAACACTGCCCCTTTAAATATTTTACAAAGGACTGAATTGGACATCAATAGCCTTCAAGAAACCTTTGTTGAATTAAATTAACGTAGGGTATGGGGTAGCCCAGCAAGTCATTCTGTAGAGGCCAGGAGAAGACTGTCCCTTCTCGTTACAGAATGACTGCTGGTTGCATTTTAGGGATCACACAGGACACCTCAAGTCTAGAACCCTGAGGGTGTTTGGAGAAACTTTCTTTCCCCACTGTTGTGTTCTGTATTCCTCTGCCCTTCCCCTTTATCTGGAATTGGTAGTTTTCTTATTTTATTAAAGTTAATATTGTCCCTGAACTAACAAAAACCCAGTGAATGAATGACTGTGAGGGGGAAGGGAGAAGAAGGAAATCGATCTCGGTCAGAGAAAGAATTCACCATTGGTGATAAGCAAGCAGGGGGAGCAACTATTTACCAAAGCTCATTGTTATGCGTGCCTGCGTAAATGAGCTCCCCTACTCTCACCACGTCACTTTCTCTCCCCCAGGTTCTGTAGGTAAGAACATACTAAATTACAGCTGAAAAGAATCTTTGAGTCCAAGGGTTAACTTTTTTTTTTGTCATGTATCCCTTTGGGATCGGGTGTAGCTTATGGACCCCTTTTCCAAATGTTTTTAAATGCAAAAATACATAGGATCACAAAGGAAATAAATTATATCGATATATACGTATATATTATACACATATACATACACATATACATACATATATACACATATATACATACACACACACACACACACACACACACATATATATATATATATATACATATAAGAGTTAACGGGACCCCAGATTCAGAATTCTTGATTTAGTCCAACCCCAACTGATGCAAGCAGTCTAGAGGTACAAGGGTAGAGTAGCTACTTGGTGTCAGAGATTGGGCTAGGACTCAGGTCTCAGACCAGGGCTCTTTCAACTGCATTGTTGTTCCATACGCTATTGTAAATGAAAAAGATCCTTTAGAGGAGGTGGAGGGGGGTGTGCCCAGGGCATTAGGTACTAGGGCAGAGTGATCCTTCCCACAAATAGTCCTTGCTCTAAGACTGAAGCTGCCAATGGTTGGAATGGAAAGTGGTTACCAGCCCTGGCCCTGACAAACCCAAGAGAGTTTGTGATGTGAGAAAATGATTGTTTGGAACCCCTTCCCCCTCCCCCCCATAATTGTTCCTCTCCCTACCTAGTAACTTCACTCAGACACACAGACACAGACATACACACACGCACACGCGGTCGCGCACACACACACACACACACACACACACACACACACACACACACACGCACGCACACGCACACGGCTCTGCCCCTGAATGGGGTGCAGGCTAGTTTACGGGTCGCTTTCTATCCAGCCGCAGGTCGCAGCCCCTTCCTCGTCCTTCCGAGCCCCTCCCCTGGCTCTGGAGCCCCTCCCCTCGTGCTTCCCTTCTCTCTGCCAGCCCTCCCCTTCTCCGGCCCTGGCCCTCCGCCTCCTGCTTCTCCAGCCACAGTCACCGCGGAGCCCTCGCCCTGGCTGGCCGCCCCTTCTCAGCCCACCCCCCACCCCACCCCCCGCGACAGCAGGCACCGGGGCTGCAGCCTCCGCCCCCTCCCCCGCAGGCAGGACACTCCCCCGTGGTCTCCTCCCCCAGTTTCCGCGGTCCTCGGCCAGAGCGGGAGGCTGCAGCTGCGGCTCCGGCGGGAGAGAGACAGCGAGGAAGCTAGGGAGCGAGCTGGGGCGAAGGAAGGAGCCCGCCAGCTCGGGGAGGCAGGAAGACCCCCTGACCTGGGCCGCCCCGCCCACACCCTCGGGCCAGGAGAAGGCTCCAGCCGAGGACGCGTCCTCCGCCTCCCCGGGACGCCTAGGGTGTCCAGGGCAGCTACCTGTGCGCGTGGAGTGCCCCAGCCTGCCTCCCCGCTCCCCTGGCCATCCTCCCCGGGGGCACTAGGGAACGGCTCCGCGGAGTTTGAGGCCGTGGGATCCTCGGAAGAAGAGCCGGAGCCGGAGCCGCAGCTGCAGCCGCAGTCCTGTCCTGGGAAGCCCGAGGCAGGATGAGGAGCTGAAGTCGCCCGGCCAGGAGAGGGAAAGGAAGGGAAGGGAAGGGAAGGAAGAGTCGGAGCGGGAGGGGCGCGCTGCCCGGAGTGGGGGAGAAGATGCTTGCCTACGCTGTGCAGGATGCCACAGTGGTGGATGTGGAGAAGAGGAGAAACCCTTCCAAGCATTATGTGAGTACGGTCCCCGGCCGGGTTCGAGGCGGGGGCTGGGCACAGAACGGAGACGAGCCCAGGTTCCCATTTGCTAGTTGCAGTCTCGTGGGCTAGTCGAGTGTTAGGGGAGAATATTGCTGGTGAGTTTCCTAGGAGCCCTGTAATCCACTGGGGACACTCAGATCCCTTTTCTGGATCATAACACGTCCCCCTTTCCCCAAATCCCCCCCTCCCCTCTACTTCTTTACTTCTTTTTTTGGCTTAGGAATTGGCAAGTGTCTGGCCTTGTCTGTTTGAGCAGTGAAGTCATCTGTCCAACTGATGATGCTGATGGATAGACCTGGGACCGCGGCTAGGGGTGGTGTGTGTGTGTGTGTGTGTGTGTGTGTGGTGTGTGTGTGTGTGTGTGTGTAACTGGGGTGGGGAGGGGGATGAGGGCAGCTATTGTGAAACCCACTCTTGCCCATAACGTATGTGAGGAGAGCATCTTCCCAGCAACAATTTCCTGTAGGGATCCAGTGGAATCTTCTAAACCTATCCAAAGGGAGATACTTTTGGCAGTAGGATCTCCATAGGCTGCTTTCCAGCCTGTGTCAGGTTCTTTGCTCTACTGAGTTCTGGGCTTAGGCGGAAGAAACTTTACCACTCTCTTCCTCATTACTTTGTCCTGGCAGTCCATATCCATTATATTAAATGACATTATCATTTTACTCTTTCTTCCTGTGGATCAGATTCTTAAGCTGAGGAGATATCCTCCTCCTATTTTAATAAGCTGTTCTGTGTGTGTTAACGGTGCAAATGTTGCTATTCCAGTGACAGATTGTAAGACAGGAGCTTACAATCAAATAGTGTGTATGTGACACCTATGCAAATATGATATAAAGCAGAACTCCATAGAGGGGTAAAGCAGAGATGCAGACAAAGTACTCTTGGGAAAAGGGGAGAAGGAAGAGACTGGTTGACACTTCAGCCTTTCATCTCCACTACCCAGCCTTCACACCTTCTGAGCAAATGGAGTGTCACTGACACCTTAGAATGTCCTGAGTTTGAGAAAACTCCAGGGGAGTAAGGTTGTAGCTCCCTGGGATTGAAGATTTGGAGCAATAGTGTTGCTTCTGGCTTGATAATGCCTATATTTTGAAAATAAAACTTTTTTTAAGAAGGCTCAGCATTATTTTTTTTAAAGAAATCAAATTGACTTCACAAAGTCTGATGCTTCTTAGATTTGTCTTAGACAGTAGTAGTATCTTGGTTTCTTTGTTATAGATGAGGCACCTTTGAGCTTTGCTTAAGTTCTCTATCCAGGAATTACCCAAAATTTTATGGTTTTTTGAAAACTGTAACAAGTTGGCTTGTGCTGGGTTTGGGTTTTTCCTGGGGTTTTCTAGAAGCTCTCAGAATTCTTGGGTTGGGAGGGACCCTAAAGGTCGTTTATCCTCCTGCTTTTTGGCAAAGTTGTTCCTAAATCCCCTTGGATTGATGGGCAGCAATTCCGTTCTCAAAGTTCTCTAGGAGATGATACAGTCTTCTGATGGAGTGGGTATGCTTTTAGTGTCCCTTAACCCCTACATGGCCTATAAGTTCTTCCTTTTGTTGCATTCATCTAATTTTAAGCTATCATCTTTTTAAGATTGGTCTTAAAGTATCCACGGCCAGTATCCATGTGCCAGGCATATATAAGAAGCTTAACTTCTACTTGTGAAGTCGGAGAGTCGAGTTGCTTTAGCCATCAATTATTTTTGTTTTTTTAAACGAGCCCTTCAGTAAGGTTGGAGTTGCCTTTCAGCAGGTGGCAGTCTCTGCCCTGGGACGTGAGTGAGTTCTATCTGAAACTTTCCTGGTAAACAGTGTGACTTTAGCTTCTACTTGAATTTACAGCATTCTGTATACCATTGTCAAGTTGGGGGTCCAAAATCTGCAGAGCAGCTTGATAACATTATAATACTCTTTTGGGGTGCAACAGTCAAGCTAGCTCACATTAGAACCTGTTAAAAATGTAGCATTCTCCTGCATCGGTTCATCAAAACTGGCCTAGTGCACTATTTTCTTCTATGGTGGCCAAAGAAGACCTAAGTTCATGTCTAACCTCTGATCTATGTTGTCTGTTTGACCCTTGGCAAGTTACTTAACCTATCAATGCTCTAGGCAATTCTCTATTAAACTGTAAATTGTAGGGAAAGTGACAACTTGTATTAGTAGAGGGAGTTTCCTCACCAGTTCCCCAGACCAGTGAAATCCTAAATCTCATCCCGAGCCCTATCAAAATTCAGTTTCCTTCTTGGGGGCCCAAGATTACAGAAGCTGGAGTTTCTGGCCTCAGGCCAGGACAATGTTGCCAGAGCTCTTGGAAGCTCGCTCAAAAGGTGTAAATAAAGATAAAGAAAATACCATAGTTCTTATTTCTGGCGTCTTCATTTAAAAAAACAGAAGGATTTATTTTGACTTTCATTGACAAGTATAGATATTTGCCTATATGAATAAGAGCTTAAAAAAGGAGAAAATTTTAAAATCCAAATGTCTTTAAAAAAAAGTTAATATTTTTGTTAAAAAAGCAGGGTTTTTGTGAGGGGGGAAGTATAGGAATCAGCTCTTAAAGAATAAGAGTTACATATGAAAACTTGAAAGACAAAAAAGGCCCTTCCTAATAATACTCATTCATGGATACTACCATTTCCTCTCACATTATGGGGCAGGGATGGGATAGTTCCCTATGGGAACTGATGATGTCACATCCTGGGAAAGCAAGCAGGCAGTGATGTCACTGGATGAGAGAGGCCACATAGAGCCCTGACCTTAAGTTCTAGGGAACAATTAAAGGAGAAACTTTTTTTTTCATTGTGGAAATAAAGATCTGGCAGGGATTTTAGTAGAGATCATGCCAACCTCTATCATTTTACAGAGAACAAAACGGAATCTCTAAGAAGAGGCAGTGACTGAATACTCAGTCAGTGGGTAATCCAAGAGCTTGAACCAAGGTCCTCTGCTTCTCGAAGGGGGCCTATTGTTTCATGATACATTTTCTCTCCTATTTGGGGGAAGAGAGAGGGGAAAAAGAAAATAGTAGGAATTAGTGAATTTTTCTGATCATGTCAATTTTTCCCATGGGGATTCCATCTCTGTTTTAATTTAATTTTATTCCTTACACTCCAGCTTCAGTCTCCCTCTCCCTCTCCCTCTCAATCTCTCTCTCCCTTTCCCTCTCCCTCTCCCTCTCCCTCTCCCTCTCCCTTTCCCTTTTCCCCCCTCCAAGAGCAGAATGAGGAAGAATCCCAACTGGTAATTTTCCCAGGTTAGATTGTTTCAACGTGTCCAAGTCCAGGCGGAGCTCCCCAGAGAAAAGAATCTAGAGGGAGGTAATAGGCATGTATGTAGTGCCTGCAATGTGCCAGGCTTTGTGCTAAGCATTTTATAAATATCTCATTTGATCCTCACAACAACCCTGAGAGGTAGGTGTTATTATTATCTCCATTTTGCAGTTGAGGAAACTGAGGCAAATAGAGGTTAAGTGACTTGCCCAGGGTCACACAGCTAGTAAGTATCTGAGGCTGCATTTGAACTCAAATCATTCTGCCTCTAGGCCTAGCCCTTTATCTGTTGTTCCACCTAGCTGTCCTTAGGTAGAGAATGAAAGATTACAGTCTATGTAGCATTATAACAATAGCTTGCAAGGTGTTCAAGGTGAAGTCAGTGAAAGGAGAAACTGCTTGTAGGTGGAAATGTTTGATCTGATAGGGATGAGAAGGGCTTGGGTCAGGGGGTAGGGAACCTGCAGCCTCAAGGCCATATGTGGCCCTCTAGGTCCTCCAGGCCACAGGTTCCTCACCCCTGGCTTGGGTGGATAGCCTTCCCATCCCTCTCCCCCTCTAGCCTTCCACCAAGGGTAAGGTGAGGCAACTAGGTGGCACAGTGGATAAACGGTTGGGTTTGGGGTAAGGAAGACCTGAGTCCCAATCCTGCCTCAGATCCTTACTTAGCTGTATGACCCTAGGCAAGTGACTTAACCTCTCTTATCCTCAGTTCTTCATCTGTGGAAAGGGGATAATAATAGAATCTGCCTTCTGGGGTTGTTGTGAAGATCAAAGAATTAATATATGTAAAGTTCTTCGTATACCTTAATAGAAATGCGATTATTATTATTGTTATTACTAATGTCAAGTCAAACTAGTAATGCCCTCCTGTGTGGTTGTTGTGTAGGGAGTGACACACTTAGATCACATATGTTCTAGAGGCCATTTGCATTTAAGGAACATAACTTTCTCCTGGTCTTCTTTCCTCTAATGAAAAGAGTTCTGAGTCCATGGTTTGCTAAATTGCAGAGCAGAGTCAATTTATGGGATTATGGGTTAGTCCAAAGAAGATGATGAGAGGCCTGGGGCTGTGTCCTGGCTCTAGAACTTGGAAGGTCTTTTGCTGCTGAGGCACCGTTGTGTTATCAGAGTAGGACTGTGGATCCTGATGGTGAGCTCATGGTGGGGTGGGGTACTAATAGTGGCAGTGTGGTGTAGATGGAGCCCTGGACTTGGAGGCAAAAGGGACACCTAGGTTTGAATCCCACCTCTGGTGCTTGTTAGCCTCTTGGAGTCTGTGTGAGCCTGGGCAAGCTACTTAATACTTTGCCTTAGTTTGCTCATCTGTAAAATGAGTTGGAGAAGGAAACCACTCCAGTACTTTTGCTAAGAAAACCCCACAAGGAGTCATGAAGAGTCCAACACACCTGAAATCATTGAACAAAATGTGCCTGAGAGGATGTGGTGAAGCTCAAATGATATTATGTATGTGAAGTGCTTTGCAAACCTTAAGTGCTATACAGATGTCAGCTTTAGTTATTATTATTTCACTTAGGCCAGCCGTTTAAAAATGGAGGGATTGTCTTTCTGTCTGTTGATGCGTTTTGTCATTGGCTTCTTTCTTTTTTGCCTGGCCCAGAAACTGTGGGTGTTGATCTGTTCTTGGGAAGGGAGAGACAATCAGTTAAACAATAGATTCCCCTGATCCATGCCAGTTCTAAGAGGGGAGAT